CCCAGGGCTAGAGATTATTTTTGTTTTGTTTTCCTTTCTCCCAGGCATTTGAGGGTTTTGTCCCATTGGGAGGACCTGCAGAAGGATCTAGGCAGCCCTTGATATGAGCCTTTCCTGCAGTGGCTGATGTTCTCTCCCCGGGAATGACAAGGGGCCCCTTCCCTGGACTGTTGCCGCTCTTAGGTGAGGACCCTGTGAGGTCCTGAAAGTGGGTGTGAATTCCTTTGTGTTGCAGCCCCAGTATGGTCTGTGCCATATAGTCTGTGAACATACTCTGTTCTCTTGCTAGCTTGAACTTCAGCAATTGGTTAAGTTTTGGCTGAGATCCTTTTGTTAGTGTCTAGGTAAGCAAGAGCTCCTGCACCATTTCAGACTTCTGTTTAGTTGGGTGTCCCACTGTCCCAGCTCTCTGATGGGTTCAAGAGAAATCAGTAATTTGAAGATTGTCCAGCACTTTGTTTGTTATGAGGATGGAGTGGTGCTTTTTCCATCTCTCTTCGTCCCAGGTGGAAGCGGGAAACAGTCCTTATTCTTCCTGAGTCTTGAATCCATCATTCTTCGTGCATTTTTTTACTAGGCTTTTTGTGTTTTTAATAAAAATCTTTTCCTCATGAAGTAGGTGGGATCTTTACTCCTTTTTTGAAAGGCTGGTCAATGCTTAATTCTTTCTCGTTTGATTGCCACTTTTCAGAGTAAGAAGTTAGTGAAGTAGTCAGCCAACAGTACTGTGATTTGAAAGGGCCAACTAATAGAAATTCACTTGGTAGAATGCCAGTTTAGCAAGAAACATCCAGAACCAATTAGTTTCAAACTGTTCTTCAGTTAAATATATTAGAAGAATAAATTAAAGAATCAAGGTAGCACCTGTTTAACCTCAGAATTGGCTGTTGTCATATTTCTTAATAGTACCTGGCCATAATGACATGTCCTAGGGCTCATGCTGGGACTAATAATACCAAGGTAGCCTGTGTAGAAGAAATATCGAGAGAGATCCCTGTTATTTCAAGGGGCTCTCACAGTCCTACTATTAGCAGAAATCTTGTCTCGCTCTGTGGGCAGTCTCGGCTTTTATAAACGTGTCCAAGAGGCAGCTGATACCACAGTAATAGAACAGTTTTGGAAAAGGGCCATATCTTTCTTTGAGTCAAAAGCAGACACCAGCTAGGAGCACTAGCTCATTGCATTTTCCTCTCCCCCTCCCATGTATAATTTGTGCCTTTTTTTTTTTTTTTTTTTTAATCACCTGCCACCAGGTTCAGCTGGTGGCTGCGTCTAAAGCCTTTTCAACACGTGGAGTAACTAGGCCTCTTGTCTCAGACTCTCCTGATAGGCAAGTGGCCCAATCACACTCCGCTGTGTGCGGATCAAGCACTCGGCACCCCTCCTCACACTGCGTGGTGGGGGCGCTGCTGAGCCATGTGGAAGACGATGGGGGCGTAAGCTACAGAGGTCCTGGCTGCAGACTGGAGCCCGATGCCCCTTGGTCTCACAGTCCTGAGATGTAAAATTGCCGGGAAGCCATCCTGGAAAAACATATCTAGGTTTCAAATTAAGATCTAGTTCTTTTGCTGTTTACAGGTCCCTTGAGGATACCTTTGAACACTGTTTATAAGTAGCCTATGTGCATAGGGAACCAACTGAGATACATTTTAAGTAAAAAAGACAATTCATTTTGACTAAGTTGTACATTTTCGCTGAAGCTACGCACGGAGGTATCTAAAAGCAGCATCTGTCTTGTTTATTATTGTGTAGAAGCCTTAGGGGGAAATGGAATAAATTATGTCCGTGTTCTTTTGATCTTTCACAGTGTGGCCCACAGAGAAGGAGGGGACTCAGTGGCCTGAGCTTCAGTCCTACTGTATCCGTGAACTTATTGAGAGCGAGTCACTGAATCTTATCAGACCTTTTTCTATTATTATTATTATTATTATTGTAACAAAAGCGTTGAAATGGGTGCTCTTCCAAGTCCCTTCTTTTTCCATGATTCTGTTAGCTCTGTGCTGTGATCGCTGTGTGATTCTGCCTTTGGTTTTCCATAGGAACAGACAGCTCTCAAATCCTTTTCTGGAAATCCCATCTGAATTCTAGATGTCCTGAGGTGTGCCATGCTGAGGGCCTGAGACAGGTGGTGATGGGTGCCTGAGCTCATCTATTATGGTCTTTTAGACTTGAGTAGCATTTGTTTTCTGGTTATAAAAGTATCAGGGGGGAGGGTGCGGATTTTTCTCTACCCTTCTAGGTCCAATAATTAAATCTACATGAGACAGATTAACAAAA